ATGGTGGCACATACCTGTGATCCCAGCAGTTGGGAGATTGTGGGAGGAAGATGGTAGCAAGTCCAAGGCCAGTCTGGGCTACTTAGTGAGACCCTGTTTCAAAAAGTTCTGTGGCTAATGAATCACCCACAGGTGACTACTTTGAAAGTTTTGATTATATTCTAGTATTTGTATGAATTATTGTATTGAAAAAAATTTTTTGTGATACTGTTTTGTCTTCCTCTTTTGCTGTGCTGGAAGTTGAACCCAGGACCTTGTAGTATAAGCACTCTCTCACTGAGCTACACCTCCAGCCCACCTTTTCTATGTTGGGGCCGGAGGGAGGAGGGGGCAGAGTCTAGCTATGTAGACCAGTCTTGCCTTGAACTCAGTAATCCTCCTACTTCAGTACACACAAGTACATTTAAAAAATATCAGTACGAGGTCACAAGCTCAACTTATTCAGAAAATAATTGCTATGCTCATTCTAAAATAACCTGACTGAAGGATGCCAGGAAAGAGTACAGAGATGCAGGCAACCAATTATTACATGTGATAAATATGGCATTTGTAATCCATCTGCCATGGCTCCTAGATACAGGTGATTTGTTTTTAATGCAAAATTACCACCTCTCAGTGTAACCATGTAAGATAAGACTACAGCAGATCTTTTCTTTTTGTATTTTAGGGAAGGGTCTACAGGGTGTTCAGGGTCTCATTACTAGATTGGACTCCCAGTGATCTGCCAGTTTACAGCCTCCCAAGAGCTGGTATGACAGTTATGCGCCACCACGCCCAGTCTCAATTGCTGTCTCAGCATGCTCCAGGGGCGGGACTGGCACAGCAGGCCCTGGGATGGAGCCCCTGGGCCCTGCACCTGCTTGCAAGCACTTTAAGCCATACAGCAGATCTTTAAGATTACTTTCAAGGAAAACACTTTAACAATCACACAAGTATATCTGATACTCATCTAATGTAGTTCACATAGATCAAAGGAGAAATGAGAAGGGATTACTTCAAAAACAGTATATACATGAATGCCAAATTGATAACAAAATCAATAAAACAAGCTAATATCTGGAGATGTCAAGAACTGTGCTCTTCCATATAATGTGATTTCCTTTATTGTTTCTAATAGACACAAACCAATGGGCTGATGGCAACTTAACTGTACAGGCAGTTCTGAGATTCTCAAATCTTCTAGAAAACTTAACTAGAGAAAACATATAACCTATTAAATTCAATGCTAAATAAAAAATATTATACACATGTTACACATATGATCTCAGGGAGATAAAAATGCAATATAGCTGTGGTGATGCATGCTTGTAATACAACTAACTGGGAGGCTAAGGCAGAAGGCTTGCTAATTTGAGACCAGCCTGGGCAACTTGAGACCCTGTCTCAAAATAAAAGATAGGGGCTTGAGTTATAGCACAGTGACACAGCGCCAGCCTGCCTGGAAAGTATAAAGACCTAAATTCGATTCCTGGTACCAAAAACCAAACATCTAAACAAAAAATTTTTCCAAAAGGTTAGAGATGAAGCTCAACAATAGAGCGCTGCCTCCACCAGAAGCCCTAAAATGGGGGTGGGGAGCTATTTAGTACTGAGCTACAAACACGCAAACTGGAAAATGCTAAGACTCAGTGTTGTGCCTGCTATTCTCTCACTCCTTTCAAAGATATACTAACCCGATTTTTTTTTTTTTTTGGCGGAACCAGGGATTGAACTCAGACCCTTGCACTTGTCAGGCAAGCGCTTATTCTACTGAGCCATCTCCCCGGCCCCTACTAACCCTATTTTAACTCCATGTTACGCAAATAAATCATTCTTACATCCAAAATTTGTCTGATTATTCATAATATTGCCAGGGATATAGCTCAGTGGCGTAAGTGCCTGCCTGGCAAGTGCAAGGTCCTGAGTTCGATCCCTGCTACTGCCAAAAAATAAATAAATAAAAATACTGCCAATAATGTCAAGATCCAAGTTTAGCCAGGCATGGTGGCACATGCCTGTAATCCCAGCACTCCCAAGGCTGATACAGGAGAATCATTCCAAGTTCAAGACTGGGCTCCTAGGGGCTGAGGAGATGGCTCAGTAGAATAAGCGCTTGCCTGGCAAGCATAAGGGCCTGAGTTCAATCCCCAGTTCCACCACAAAAAAAAAAAAAAAAGAAAAAAGACTGAGCTACAAAGTTAGCCCAAGGCTAGCCTGAACTGCATAGAGGCTGTGTCTCAAAAACAGCCTCACACACAATCCAAATTTTGCCCTACAGAAATAAAAATATGAAATATGGCATAAAATATGGTAAGCATATATACCTAAAACTAGGGGAAGATCACTGAAATGTAAGCATGAAAATGAAAACTGAAGCTTAAGGCTAACATTAAAATGTTTTTAAATGCACACAATAGGACAACTTAGAAGGTTTGCAACAAGCTCTTCACTATAATTACTTGCCATGGCTACTGCTAATGCCAAGACATTGCAACACATAGTTTACTACAAAGAAACATTGTTATGATTTTGCTGAAATACCTTATTTGTAAAGCAACAAAGGAAAAAAATATCAACATGTATTTACTCAAAGGGGCAACCATTTAAAGAAGTGCAGATAGTGTTACAACTAATAGAATTAGTCTATCCTTCTAAGGTATTATCCATGGCTACCAATTATCTTTTGCATAAATAAGAGATGCTATCCACAGAAAACCAAATATAAAATATGCAAAATGCCAAAACAAGTATAGGCCACCTATACTGCAAAATTATAGATGCAAACACCAAAACTTTGGGCTGGGGAGATGGCTCAGTAGAATAAACGCTTCCCTGGCAAGTGCAAGGACCTGAGTTCAATCCCCAGTTCCACAAAAAAAAACAAAAACACCAAAACTTTAAGAATTTAACGTAAGGTAGGTGTGGAAGTGCATTCCTATAATCCCAACATTCAGGAAGCTCAGGCAGGAGGATTGGCATGAGGTTAGAACCAACCTGAATTACATGCTGGGACCCTGTTTAAAAAAAAAAAGAATTAAAAATAAACCAGGCTGGAAGTATAGCTTAGTGGTACAGCATCTGCCTAGTGTGCACAAGGCCAAATTCAAGCTCCAGTACAAAAACAAAATGACAACAACAAAGAAACAAAACTGGGCATGGTGGCATATGCCTACAATAAGCATTTGGGAAGTTCAGACAAGAGGATGAGTTGTACACATCATAAGTTCAAGGGCCAGCCTGGAGTGTACAGTGAGACACTGTCTCAAAAAACAAAACAAAACTCAAAAGAATGTGAAACCTTACTAGGCCTAACTGTACAGGCCCGTAATCCCAGCACACTAGGAAACTGAGGCAGGAGGATCATAAATTCAAGCCCATCCTCAAAACAAAAAAAATTTTCAAGAGGAATTGGGAATGTAGCTTAAAGATTGTCACTAAGGGGGCTGGGGAGATAGTTCAGTTGAATAAATGCTTGCCTGGCAAGCGCATGGGCCTGAGTTCAATCCCTGGCTCCACTTAAAAAAAAAAAAAGATTGTCACTAAGACAATTTTGCAATTTAGGCTTTTTACAAAACTAAATATTTTTCATAAACAAGGTGTGGTGGCACATGCCTGTAATCCAGCACTTCAGAGGCTGAGGCAGGATACTTGAGAGTTCCAGACCAACCTGGTCTACACAATGAGTTCAAGGCTGGCTTGCACTACAAAGCGAGACCTTATCTGAAAAAACAAAAAGTCCTGGATCATAAAGAAATTGGGAAGCAATGCCCAATGATCTCTGTTTAAGACAGAGAAGTATGTAAACTGTTATAAAAATAATTCCATTCGAAATAGTTAAGGGGGTGCTAAACAGGTAAAGTTTCAAGTACATGAAAAACATGAAAGAGAAGCAACCTTTTAAGTTAACTGAGTTTTCTGGATCTTATGGTGTGATTTCAAAATTTTATAAATGTTCACTCCCACCTCCCCAAGTGCTTTACAAATTAGCAATTAATCACCCTCTTCAGCAACAAAATGAAGGTAACGTAAACACACATATATTTTTCTCTTTTCTGGTTTTAGCTTTTGAAAGTTAGTATCAGCCTTACAAATTCCCCGAACATCTAGTTGTGCCTGAAATGTATCTGTGCCCTACTGGAGAAATTTAGTGCCGCACTGAACGTACTTTTGTGGACAGAAACTCAGCATACAAAATGGTGCTTTTATAACGTTTCTAGAACGAGTCGGCATTCTCCTCGCCCGTACACTTAAGACTCTGGGCCTTCAATGACCAAAGATAAGCCAAATTGCTTAATTTTTCTTTAAGGCGTATGAAGCTCTGAAACCATCCCCTTCCTCCTAGAGTACCAGGCCTTCGCCGATCCCAGCTCATCGAAAACGTGGAAAAACTACGAAAGAGCTAAAGGTAAGGCTCTGGACTTGACTTCTACACGAATGTTTAACAGTGTATCCCACAGCGCTTAAGTGTGTACGAAAGTAGCCGTCCTCGGCAAGGCAGAGGTCAGGAAGGGAGAAGATTGTAGCCAATTTTAATCCCTGTGACTGAGACTCTCCCCCGCCCTCACCGACCCTAACTTGACAGGACACAGGTTGTGCCCGCTCCTTCCCCACCAGCCATCTCAGCCCCCCGCTGCCGTCTCAGGCTTACGATCGCGAAGCATCCGAAATCGGCCTGGCTCCCCGGAGTTCAGGCTGCCGTCGCTGCCGCCATATTACAGCTTGTGCGGCAAAATGCGTCAGGGAGCGAGGTGCGCGCCCCAGCGGGGAGGGCGGGGGCTGGCGGAGGAAGAGCCGCCTCCCGGGCCCTGGAGGCCGCGCCGGAGGCCGCCCACGCGGGCGAGACAGCGCCTCGGGCCTCGGGTCCCCGTGGGCCCGAACGGTCCGCGCACCCCGGGGGCAAGGCTGTTGACTCAGCCCGGCCGGACGCGCCAGCTCCGCCCCTCCGCCCCGGCCCTTCCCGCTCTCCCACCCGGACTGCAGCAATGACGCCACCGGAACAGCACGGTTCCCGAGTCGCCTACCTGTGCCACTGGAACGTCCCCTTCTCTGGGCCTAGGCCTTCCAGGCGCTTCAAATCTACCGCCGTCGGAAAAGGCGCTAAAGCCCACTAACCGCCTCCCTCCCCCACACCCCGGTCCCGGCGTGGAGGGAAGGCGTCGCGCCGGAAGTGTGTCACGGACTCGTGCACGGCGTCCCCAGCGTCCCGGGCTCCTGTCGCCACGCCCTCCTCGGGATTGGGATTCAGGTTTCTTAATGCTGCGGTTGATTCAGTGCTTTGTACCCATCAGAATGCCATATCGTGCCGGGTAGGAGGTAGGAGGATCTCAAGTTGTAACCGACTGTGGACAGGATGATGAGATCCTGACGATCAGTCGGTCAGCAGGCTGAAGAGGTAGATCAGGGTGAAGGCCCTGGGTTCAATCACCTGTACCTGGAGGGGGTAAAGAGAACTGCCATATATATAGTTCCACCGATAAAGTGCTACATTTAATAAATACGTCCTGATGCGCTGCTTACGTATTTTAAAGGACTACTTGGAGGTCACAATTTCAGTTTGTAATAAGCCCTACGATACAAAGTCTAAAAAAACAGCCATCAACAGTTTTCTTTGAGAAAATAATAAAAGGCATTAATGTCTCTTATTGTTTTTTTCACATAGTATAGATTATATTTAGTACACGTTTAAATTTAATTGATCTGTGACATCTCAAACATCCCCAACTTGATTTGACATGGAGAGTCAAAGAAGATGCTGTCCCATTAAAAGGAAAACAGTGTCATGCCCACCAGTACTATGATTTTTAAGGATTTCTTATATAATAGATCTTAGAAGATTGGGACAGTAGAAAGGGCATCTCTGATCTTGCAGTTATTCGTTTGTTGTTGTTGTTTTTAACTTTCTGCAAAGCTTTATTTCAGGACTCAGTCCTTCTGGGCAGCTGCCTTCATCATGCCAGCCAGTATGTTGCTCAGCTTCCTCTTGGGCCCGATGTGCGTCCCCACCCTTTTCTTGATGAACCTGAGGGCACGTTTGTCCTTTGAGACCTTGAGCAGCTCCATGGCGCTGTGCTCTTGGGGGGGGGGGGGGCTGCACACCTCCAGGATCAATCATGTCCTGGACTTATTTGGTGTGTCTGGTGAGGCGTCTGCAATGGCGGCTGTGCCTCAGTTTGCTCACATTCTTAGTCACCTTGTGGCCCTTGTTGAGGCCCACGGCCATGGGATAGCCGAGGGCCATGTCTGTTCTTCGATGGCTGCTGTGACAGAAGGGGGACTCGGGTTCTTTGCATTGTGTTATTCCATCATACCCCAGAGTCTTGCCATTGAATGATTACAGTGTGTTCCTTTGGTTTTCAGCTGGCAGGAAGAGAAATTAAGGGGCTATGTTTCAAGGCCTAAATCCAGAAGTAGCACATGTCACTTTTTTGGGGGGGAGGGGATACCAGGAATCAAACTAGAACTTCATGCTTGACTGGCAGGCACTGTGCCACTGAGCTACATCCCCAGCCTGCACATATCACTTTGGCTGTGATTCTGTTGATAAGAACCAAATCACAAGACCAAGCACAATTGCAAAGTTCTGGTTGCTTGACATGCATCCAGAAAATATCATAAAGGTATTTCAGTGCAAGATTAACAGAATCCCATTAAAAGATAATCATTTTTTAAAAGTTAATTTATCTGTTGGTACTAGGAATAGAACTCAGGACCTTGAGCTTGTTGGGCAGGCACTTGTGCCAGTAGAGCTATAGCCCTGGCCCCCATTAAAAGACAAATATTTTCACAAAAGTTATTTTTACAGTCATCAAATCCTGGTTTTTCAAATGGTGATTTAATTATCTCCAAGTGACTACTTTTTATTTATTTTATTTTATTTTTTTAACATAGAAAACCTAGATTTATTTGTTAAACTATTACAAAGACAAAACAATTATCATCAGAAGTACTTTATCATCCCAGTTCACTTAACAGAAAACTAAACTAAGAAGGTAGCAATTAAAGGATATAAGCTAAGAGGCTATAACAAAGCAGACTGGAAAGAACAGGGTGGAAGGAGAAGAAGCTACCCAGAAGTACTTATACCAG